CAGCTCGAACGACGCTGAGGTACAAGCCATGGTCGAATCCGAGGACAACAACTTTCGGATGCGACTTCTTTGGTGCGAACTTCATGGCCAGTCCATCCACCAGCACCGCGACACCGACAAGGTCTCTGCCGGCGAAGAGGTGGTCAAGCTTGTCAAGGGCGTGGTCACTACAGACTCCCGAGGCGGATACGATGCTGTGACTCGCCATGAGTCCCCGATGCTTGGGCTCTCCAACATGAGAGCCGCGCTTCAAGCCTTTCAAGTGAGAGAAAGTTTGGAACGCACCCACACCGAGCTTCGCTGGACTGCCTCGGACTATGACTTGGGCGATGCCTTGACCAAGAAGGCACCATCATGCAGAGCCGGGTTACTGCAGTTTCTGAAGACCTCTGTGTGGTCTATAGCCTTCGACCCCAGCTTCCAGAGCGCTCGCAAGAATGCCAAGGCGGGCAAGTCAGCGCTGCAGACCCTGCAGAATCCCTCGTCTACCTCAACGGCCCGATCCCGAAGTAAGCCAATCACGTCATCAACTGAGAATGATTTTGTGCCCATGCAACACGGGCATTTAGAGGCTCATCAGTTGATGCCATGCATGTAGATTGTCCAGACTGCAGTCATGTCCCTTCCGCAGCTGAAGGGCCCTTTTGCTTGTAGCCGAGCCAGACATTTGGCCACGACCCCCATAGTCAGCTGCACAGGCGGCTTGAGAAGAAACAAGGCTTGGCGCCATTCGCTCCCCGCGCTACTCCCGCTGCAGAATCCTTCCTTAAGGATCCTACTTTGAAGCCCCCGAGCCTTTGGCGTGTCAGCTAAAAATGGCCCGTGCTTGTGAAGGCTGGGATTCCCGGCGCATGGCTCTGAGGCCAGTGTGCATCACACGGCCTGTGCGGGCCCCGGAGATGCGCAGGGAGGCAGTGTCATTTTTCGCCACCCTGCCTCTCCATAATAAACCCATGGCTGGCTTTTTTCTCCTCCCGCTCGAGCAAACATGTCCAGAGAATTCTAGAAGTGACATATCAACAAAAACGGTAACCCCACACTGCAGCCGCCGAAGGTTTGCTGAAGGGTATTTTTCCCGTGGAAGCTCGCGAAAGTGGCGTGGTTGACTTGCTCTTTCCAGACTTACATTCGATCTTTCCAGAAATGCCAGCAAACCATACACACACACATTTCCCTCTTGGAAGCTACCTTCCTCAATTTCCAGAAGCAACTGCCCGAAGGTACCCTACAAACCGAAGCTTTGCGGAGGGTTTCGTGGAAGGGGGCCCATATGTCGAATCAAGTTTAAAGGGAACCAAAACCACAAGTCATGTGTAGGTGGTGTGGCATGCTTTTTGGGCGGTGGGATTGGGGGGTAGAGTGAGTGACAGCAAGTGATGCTGGAGATTGCAGCGGATGTTCCCAAGATACTGGATGCTGAATATGTTTGAATTAATGTTGGCCCTGGGGGGATGTGCAGCCAATCTTTGCAAGTTGAGGAAATGATGAAAGACATGTGCCGGGGGCACTGGTAATGCGTAAACAGTGTGATGACAATGGGTCTTCCACCAACAGCGATAAGGATTCTCTGTCTTGGCAACTTACGGAACCGTTCTGCAAAACCACCATCTTCAACTTTGCGAACCTGAATCGGAGAAACGCGCCTCAAGGCCATGAATTGAATAGGCTTGCTTCTGGTTGCCTCCATCGATGCGTTTGCCTAAGAGATGTTAAGACCCACCCCTTTGGAAATTCGGACGGCGCTCAGAACCCTTTGGTGTGAACCCTTTCGAAGGTACGCGCTCTTTCCTGCTAGCTGGAAGCAGTAGGCTTGCAGATGAGAATCATGTTCTAAGAGTCCACGGTTTTACCTGTTATACCCTCAACAGGGAAGTCACATCCTTTTATTCCAAATGGCCCTAAAGTCCAGATGGGTACACACACCCGGGCTTCAGCTCCCTTGCAGCTTCACAGAAATACACCCCAAAATGTGAAACCCAGATTGCCAAAAAGGCTTGACTGATGCGGACCAAGATTTTGGCACTTCCAACCTCCGGGCTAAGCCAAGCGGATCCACACTCGGTCAGAGGATTTGGTTGTGGACCCGATCTGCAGAGCCTTGTTTCGGGTATCTTGGTTGGGTGGCTTGGATCGCTTGGGGGCTTTGAACCTTTGGTTCTTGTAGAGGGTCAATGGGAAGCCACTTCCTAACCTCCAAGCCACCAAACCAAAGCACATTTTTTGGAGGGAAGCTCAGTTGGTCCATGTTGGATAAAGGAGCCTACATTTAGGCATGATTTTTCGGGATTGTTGTCATATCCTGCATATGCCCTTGAGGTTGTATGCCTATTTCAAGCTATATGTGTCCATTAATTGTATGCAGCTAACAGGTGGATATGTTTCCGCTTGCTTGGGGTAGCTGAGTGGCTATGCTAAAGTAACTGACTATCAGAGCCATCATTTTCCCATGCTTCGTTCATCTTGCTTCACAGCGCCTTAAGGCGCGGGCCTGCGGCAGCTGGCGGAGCACCTCGCAGACAAGGCCGCCCTGGCGGCGGAGCAGGCGGGGGAGTGGTCGACGTCTCGACTTTCGCGAGTTTGTGTCGCGAAGGGTCGACTGGTGTTGGAAGGGTCGGGTGTTTTCCACCGAAAAAGGAACATCAAGCAAGAAGTACAAGAGGGCAGTGGTTTTTTGGGCGGGATGGGGTGAAGTGGAACGAAGGAATCTCTTTGACACAGGATGAATCAAGCCTGGCCATTGTTGTTTCTTTGGGGACCATTCTTTGGAAGCCCTTGGCGTCTGAGTTGGCAAAGCCAAACTTTCTTAGGGATCCTCAACTCCAAGAAATTCCGGCCAATCTTGGGGCCAATCTAGTTTGTGTGTCTGTTGTTAGGGCATCCCAAAATTAAAACCACCGAATTGGGGTCCCCCAGAAAAAATAAGAAGAAAAAACCACACATGGGAACAACTGGCAGCTTTTGGGTTTTGGCAATCCCTACAAAAATATGGTGAAACCGCAATCTTCCTGCTGTTAGGGCCAATAGAGTTGGGTGCTGCGAGGGTTCAATTTTTCAGGCCAGGTGCTTTCGCCCGCTTTAGAGCCCTTGATGGCCCAAGACAAGCACAAGAGATGTGGATACGAGCCAACTCGAGGGAAGCATGCTCATCAACAAAGGGTGAGGCACAGAACCCGGGCAGGGGGTTTTGTGCAGGTGCCCAGCTGCATGTCACATTTTTGGGGCGCAAAAGAGGGTTCAACTCCAGCCCAGCTTGGCTTTCGGCTTGCCCTTTCCCAAGTAAGGATTCACTTTTGGGAGCTATGACCAATGACCCGCACCAAAACAACTAGCAAGAACACAGGTGCCAAGAGAGCCGCCAACCGTCACGGCCTGTCTATTACACATATTCATGTCCGTATGAATGAATTGCTTGAATAATATGGATAAATCAATAAATAAATATATGAGCTATATTATGCGATATATGCCTGCTGCCCCAAAAACTGTTGAGTTTGATCAGTTCTCAGTTCAATGATTATTTTGCCTTCTTGGTGTTGAAATTTCAAAACTGGTGCTACAAAAACCGTTCAGGCTTGCGCAGCAGACCGAAACTTGTGTTGCTGACGTTGCATGCTGGAAATCCATCAATGCTATATTTTTGCTTTGTCCAGTGCATGTTTACGTTCGTTTTGCGTCATCTCATGGGCCGTGCCTAGGGGTTGGTGTTGGAAATGCCGTTCGTAAAGCGTTCAAAACCGCGAACCGTTCGCATGTCGTACATTTTACGTAAAACACAACATGAAATCATATTTGTGTTCGAAAAGCCGTTCTGGTGCTAAAAAACCGATCTGGTGCTTAAATTGTTCAAAAAAACATCGTTTCTCCAAGTGCGCTGCAAAATGACCATTTTACGGTGAAGCAACCGTGGAGGGTTTTTGTGGGTTGACCTGTGGCCTTGTGGCCCACAATTCCCAGCTGTCGGCGCGCAGGTCACGCCTGCCTCGTGCGCAGATTTGGAGAACATCCGCCGCACACCCAGCCAATGGTTCGATTTCAGGTGCGTGGCGTGCAGTGCGTAAGTTGCCAAAAATTTGGGAAACACAACTGGAAAGCTGTCCGCTGTATAAGCAGAGCCTGAGGTTGGTTTTTTTTGGCATCCACTCTTGAAAGGCGGCAGGTATCGGTACCAGGGTCAACCCGCCCGGTGTTTCTCATGAAGGTGTCTTGCAAAATCCGAAGCTTGAGGGAGGCTGGCCAAGGATTTCAGATTCCATCCCATGGTACACCGGGGTTGAAGTACATGGCGCAATTTCCTTATTGGGAAAAGACAAGTTAATGACGAGTGACCGAAATGATGGAATTGTGCTGTCACTGGGTAACTGGGCGATGAAACATTGGGATTTGTAGATTGCCTTCCATGCCCATCGCTTGATGCCCCGACAACTTCGTGCATGTGCCACTTGTCTGACTGCTTACGAACCCGAGAGCGAGCCAGTACATGAAAACCAAGGTGCCTCACTCGGAGATTCGTCATTTCACGTCTGTGACATTTGCCGTGATTTGCGCCAATGTATGGGGACTGCGGTATGGGGGTTCTTCACGGATTGTTGCCTGCCGAGCAGCAAAGGGGAATCAGGGCAATTGACGCAGTTAGAAGTGGTCCCTGTACAATCCTTCCTTTGTTTAGTTTTGTTAGCGCTACCTTTGAGAGTATGCCGCAAGCGTTTTGTTGTTGCAGCATTCAGTTCGAAGCTGATTGACTAAGCGTCCAACACGCTTGTCAGCCCACTGCCGACACCCTGACAATCTCCCCATGCCCCATCGCAGCGCCTACGTGACAGCCTCATTTGTCTTTCAACATGCTTCCTTCCATCTCAAGTTTGTTTTTCCTGAACTCTCACCCAAGTCAAAGGTGTGGCAACTTTTCCACTAGAATCTTCAGCTCTCACACATGGCATTTGCAGGCTTTATTTGCCGAGTGCGGCTCTCTCCGCCAGTTTGCGGCCCACTGCCATGCTGCCATGGCACCCTTCGCCACGTCCGCGTGCAAGAAGCCGCGGGCGCAGCGCTTCCCCGGACGGCGAGCGGCGCCTGCGGGACTCGGCGCGACGCCGCAGGTGGCTCTGGCAGGCGCCTGGGTGTGAAGGGAACCCCAGAGAAAGAAGCAAAGTCTAGCTCCCATTCATCCGGAATAGGAAGCCCATACTAGTGTTCTGGTAGTTTGGTGGTGTCACTTTGTGGGTGAAAGATTCTCACGATAAAAGGATTCCCCCCCAATGAAACAACCAGGGGATTATGACTCCGGGGTTTGGGGGAGGGGTACAGGTGTACACGGCTAGCCTGGGCCTGCGTCCCTTGGGTGTTTCCTAAATTTGCTATTTGGGTGTTTTGCAGGGGCATGGGCGCAAAATTGGATTCGAGCATTTTAGGCTGTTGCGGCGGCTTCTCTCTTCTCATATATATATATATATAGAGCCTGTTGCGGAAGTATGCCCGCAACAAGGGTGCAAATGAAATCCGAATCATGTAGCTGTGTTTTGAACGATTTGTCGGGGGAACGAGCACTTTTTGGATCATTGGGCGAAAATAGTTGGCCCGAGCATGTTTTGTCTTCATAACATAATTTTATGTAGCAATGGAAGGTCCAGGCTGGTGCATTGGCGGAGCAAAGGTAACCCCAAAGTAGACGGGTCTTTTTGATGTCTTAACGATTTTGTTTGTTAGCGGATGGAAGGATAGACTTCTGGGCGATGTTCATGTAACGCTGACTTTTAGGTGGCTCCTATTTAGGGTCACAGCCCCTCTGAGGCATCAGTTTGCCCTTACTAGAAGTGTTCACGGAGAGCTGACGTTGGCCCTCCTCACCAGAGAAGATCCTGTGAACACATTTGGTACTTGCCAGACATGTCCCAAGAGCAGGCTTTCTCTCACCCTCTGGCGGCCTTCGAAATTGGAAAGGAGAAAACAACCGCCATGGGGTTCCCTACAGGACAACGCATTTCCAGGCTGGAGCCACGCTCCCTACCTGTGATCCCCAATGTTGCCACCTTCCCGCCCGCACAGACCTTGTGGTGTCAAAGCAAGTTGGAGCCCCGTCAAATTCATTGGATTTATGGCACTTCCCTCACAAACGTCTGTCACTGTTCTACCATGTCTATTTTCAACAGGATGCTTAAAGCAAAAAGGGCCCCTTGTTTCCTATTCTCCCTTTCAGGATCCATCCAGAGGTTCCCCCCCCCAAGTGGACACCCGCAACTCCACCAACGTCAGGTTCAGCTTTGCAGAAGTTGCCGGACAAGCTCCCTTTGGGCCTCGAGGGGGAGCTGCGTGCAAGGCGTGGCCCGAGCGTGGCTCTTGGTTGGGCCGACTGCCAGAGCGGTAAATCTGGTACTCCTTCGTTGGTTCTTGTAAAAAATGGACACCCCTAACCTGCAAACCACCAAACCAGCACCAATTGGAGGGATTCTGGGCACAGGTCCATGTGAATGTATGCAGATTTTCCAATGGTTTGGAAAATGCTGAGGGGGACACGCAAACAGAAAGCAATGAACATCATCATCCTGGACCCGGAGTGCGCGCCAATCACTTGTAAAGCGCATGGGAGCTGCGAGGGCTGGTTTACAGCGCTTTAAGACAACACAATGGCACCTGCAAGTTTCGTTTTCTGGGGGCAAACCAGGAGTCATTTGCTCCTTTCTGGCGTTAAGCTTGAAAGGTTTCACTTGCAGTGCTTGAGTCGTACACTCCTTCCTCGGCCCTCGCGACCACAAAAACCTTTCACACCAGACATGTGCAACCAGGGATCGAGCGAAATTCCCCAAAGAACCCAAACGAGGAGGTCTTCTTTTTTGGAGAAACAACAGGCCCCCTGTTTAGCTCAGGCTTTGCGTGGCACTGGCCACCCGGGAAGATGAGCGCATCGCCCGGGAACGGGCGCACGCGACCGCGGTGGAGCCGACGAGAGCTGTGCGCCAGGCGGAGGGACACGGTGACAAATGTTGGGAAAGGAAAAAGGCTATGAGGTTTCGCCTGTCTTTTTGAACCAGCTGTGTTCTCTTGCACACGGTAATTTGCTGCTTTCGCTGCGTCTCGGCAACTGGCTCGAAATTGCAGCATCCCGCAGTGGCACTTTTTGGACGACTCCAATGTGCAGGTTGTATCCTTCTCGCATTTCTTCCAAACAAACGCCACAAGCAAAATGGAGCTAGCCACCGCCCGGGTTCATCTTACCCTCGCTTGCCAAAGCTGGACGACGTGTTCTGTATCGAATGCTTACTCGGGTTCAAGCCGAACACATAGGTGGGCCCAGGTGGCTGTGGCCCGAGCCTAGGCAGAACGAGCGCACGCGCGGAAGCCACCCAGAGGGAGTGGACAATAACATCTTGCGTGAAATGGGCCATCGCACGCGCCAATGGTGGAAAGACAAGCACGTGCTGAAGCAACGCTTTTGGCATGGCTTGGGCAACCAGAGTTCCGTTTATGTTTGCGAACACGGGCTGCAAGAAAGCCCATACTTTGCGTTTCAAGGGTTTGGATGAGCCACGGATGGCAGAGCACAAGTAAACTTCAAGAATGGCCAGCTACTGGTGGTTTGCCCAGTCACTTTTCCGACCGTTCTTTAGTGAAAAGTCAATTCTTGGATTCTTCCCTGGGTCCTCCAAAACTATGTCATATTTTGAGGTACGCGGAACAAAATCCGAATCAGACGCCATTCTGATTATGTTCTGTGCGCTCTTTATTTGTGGACCAAGAATCAAAGCTTTGCTCGTCCTGGGGTTGTCAACCATCGTTTTTACCGACCGGCCTTTAGTAGGCCCGCCCGTGCTAAAGGGCGCCAAACGAGGGGGAGAACAGGTGGAATCCAGAGAAAGATAATCCAAGCTAGAATATGCCTGCACTGTTCTTCAATGGAGACTGAAACCCTTCGAGATTGTTTGGCTTGATGGCTTTAGTTTGGTGTTAAACTACCCCACCCCATTCTGATTGCTTGGCCCTCAAGCACATCTATGCCTTTGCAGTAGGTGACCTAGGTGTCAACGGCTTGTCACATTTCTGCAGCTGACCATGGCGATCAAGCAAAAAGAAGCACCCTACTCCCCGAATTTCTGCATTTCTTTTTTTTTTGGGACGGCCACTTTGGTGGTAAACAAGCAGGCGCCATTGCCTTTGCGGCCCGGGGAATGGAGCCCCAGGCGCGTTTTGTTTCGGCTCCGGCGGTTTGATGCTACCCATTTTGGGGCAAAGGGCCACGTACCCCTTTTGAGGGTTCCCCATATTGAGACAAACCCATATTTGTACTACATATGTAAGTGTGTATTTGCATACATACAGGCATGTATCTGGATTTTCTAGCACCTATACGTAAATGTTGTTTATACGTACACAGACATACATGCATATACCTAGGGATTCGCTGCGGCAGAAATTCTGCCGCAGTTCAAAAAAGGTGCCTTTTTGGTTTTGCGGCACTTCTTCCTAATGTGCGGCGTGTTTTTGGAACTGCGGCAGAGATGGCAGAGCTTGCTTTTCCACATTCGCTCGTGCACGACTTGGCACTTGTGACATTTGGCTCAAATCAGGTTGCGCGAGCCTGTTTGGGTTGACTACCCCGCGCAAAAGCAGGCATGTAAGCTGTGGCTTCACAAGCTAAGCCGTGTTTGGTAGCCACATGCGTGGCTTTTGCTGATGTGCTTGTCTCTCTGTCACTATCCCTTTCCTTCTCCCGCATTGTGTTGGCGCCGGGCCCTACGACGGGCGACGCCTTTCCCACTTTCCGTTTCTAGGAAGCGCATGAGGGGCATGTCAGCTTCAAAGGCGAATTTGAAATGGGCCGTGGGCTTCCCAGTGATTGGATCAACCCATGATGCAGGCTCCAAATCAGAAGAACGCTTCAATGCATGAAAGAGCTCCTGGCAGATTGCACCCTTCGTTTGACATGTGCTTTCGTCACGTCTCTTGTGCAACTCGTCTCCGTTTTGCGAGATTGACGGCCGGGTAATGCAGTTTGGGGTGCTGGTGGAGGTGCTGTTTTGCGAGCTTGCCGGCCGGGTGTTAGAGGGCACGCAGTTTGGAGTGCTGGTGGAGGTGCCGATTTGCAAGATTGCCGGCGGGGTGCCAGGGGGCATGCAGTTTGGGGTGCTGGTGCTGTTTTGCGAGATTGACGGCCGGGTGCTACGTGGAATGCAGTTTGGGGGGTGGAGGTGCTGTTTTGCGATTGATGGCCGGGTGCTAGGGAGCACGCAGTTTGGGGTGCTGGTGGAGGTGACGGCCGGGGGCTAGGGGGCATGCAGTTTGCTGTGCTGCTGTTTGGTGCCTGTGCTGTTTAAGGCGCTGATGGACAGCGGGTGCTAGGGGGCAGTTTGTGGTGCTGGTGCAGGTGCTGTTTGATGTGCTGGCGATGGTGCAGGCGCACTTTTGCCAGACTGATGGCCGCATGCAGTTTAGGGTGCTGATGCAGCTTCTGTTTTGGGGTGCTGTTTGTTGTGGGCGATTGTTTCCGAGATTGCCGGCGGGGTGCCAGGGGGCATGCAGTTTGGGGTGGTGGTGCAAGTGCTGTTTTGGGTTGTGCCGCTGGCCGCACGGGCGTTCATTTCACAGATAACTGAAGACCATAGGGGTTCTAAAATCTAATGAAGAAGGGGAATTGTTTTGCCAGATCGACGGCTGGGAGCTAGGGGGCTTCGGTTGAGGTGCTGGTGACAGCGCGTGACGGCAGGGTGCTCGGGGACATGTCCAGTGCTGGCGCGGTTGGGAAGCTGTTGGGGCTGCTGTTTTGAGGTGTTGGTGATGGTGCGGGCGCATTTGGATGGCAGGGTGCTAGGGCGGGTGCTGTTTGGGGTATTGTGGTTGTGGTTCATGTGGCAGCATCATGATGCTGTTGAACCGATTCGGACGTTGTTGCTGTTGTAACTGTCGCGCGTAATGGTTCGTGGCTGGTGTATCAATATGATTTTGTCAACCACGGCATGATGCCGCTGGAATCATTCGATGCTGCATTATGGTTCGTGGGTGTGGTGGCGGCATGATGCGGTCAACATCAGGACGATACTGAGTTTCATTACGCTGTCGAAAGATGACTCGTGGCTCTGGTATCATTATGATGCTGCCCTGTTCCACGCACCTTTTTGCAACCATCACCATGGTGCTGTCCGCATCAGGGTGATGCTGTCCCCATCATCGTGATGCTGTCCGCGTCATCGTGATGCTGTCGAACTGACCGTGGCCATTTTGGCTCAAGGTGTTGGCTGGCGACTAATCGGAACTAAAAGACCCCTCTTCCCGGGACACCTGAATCCCACAGGCCCCTAACCGGATCTACCCGTTTTTTTGGTGCCATGGGTTTTGGATTCCTGCTGAATCTGCTTCAGAGCAGCGTGAGTACATTCTCGACAGTGGCAGAGGCATTTCAGGCTAAGGGCGTCTCTCTGAGCAGCAGAACATCCTATGTGACGCGAGAGTCTTTCTCGGGGTTGCTCGGATGGTTGCAAGACGCTTCAATGTTGCAAAAGATGCCACAATTCAAGTTCGATCTGTTTTGGAAATGGAAGATGAAATCTGCAAAGCGCTCGAAAAGGAAGAGAGGTACAGCTTCATTGCTGAAGGAGGGGTAGTGGGGAAGAGATCCACTCACCAGGACCATGAACTGGCAACCGCTCTCAGTCATTGCGGGTACTCTGGCGCAAGTACAATCACTCTCTTCACCACTGGTGCAGCGGATCTCGTCTTTCCATTTGTGGTGCGAGAGACAATCAAAGCTCGAGGGGATGTCGTCATAACCCTTTCAGCTGATGGCGACGTGCCATTTCATCTATCTCTCGCCAACTACGAGGCAAAGTTTGAAGGCCCTGTCTTTCATCTGCATATGGTGCATGACGTGACATCCCACGAGGCTTTGGAGCGCCTCGTGTCTGGATTTTTCGCCTGAACTCTGACTTGTATGGTGGAGGGACCCACATTCCTTTGAACACCATGCTATCAGAGATGGAGAAAGCTGGCCGAGAAAACAAAAGCGAAGGGAGCGTCATAGATGAAATGGTAACCCAGGGCTTGGTGAATGCGATTAGCGATCCCACTCTACTTCGCTTCATCCTGGAATACGCTGCCATGGAGCTTGTTCACCTGGGATTTGCTGACCTGCATCCAACATTGCGGATGTTGAAGGATCCCTTTCAGGTGGAAAAGGAGTCTATCATGGCTTTCTTCAAGGAGCCTCCACAGTGCCGTTTTTCAGCAGAAGCAGCCATTTGGAATACTTTTGAGCTCTCCTCCCCTGTAAAGCGGCTCTACAATGTGCCAGTTGGCTTGATACTTCAGCACGTGTCAACAATAGGTCAGGAGGTTCAGAAGTGGGTAGGAAGCATTCTCACAACACACCTGAGCGACGGGTACTTGACAAGTCTCCCAACCTCGCTTCTTGGTGTTGCTCGTGACGGAGATCGGCTGATCACTCTTTACCTCTACACCGATCGATATGAGATGATGGTCTCGAAGAAGCCGGTGCCGAAGGTTCTTGCTCTGCCTCCTGTCGTACCTACAGTTGCCGACAGAGACGTGTCAGCTGAGATCATACAGAAGCTGGTAACGTCTGGTGCAGCGCAAATGCTTGGGCCCGCCTACTGGAAACTGAAGGAAGATGGGACGGTTTTTGACATCTCTGAGAAAGGCTGGATGATCATTCAAGGCCTTGCTATAGATCCAGAGAAAGCAGTGGCATGGATGACAAGCTCTTTCTTTAGCAATTACTCTGGGACAGGATCTGCCTATAGGCCAGATCACTCGTTGTGCCATTTGCGGGAGTGGGGACATCGTCTCACTCCTTGCTTCGGATCTCCTCATAGGGGGTTTCGGAGTCTAAGGACACTTGATTCTTTGGAGCTGTGCAATCATCTCCCCTCTCCCCTGTTCTTCGGTTGTTTGTGTGGTCTTGGGGTTGCCTCTGTTTCTTTTGGGTTTGTTTTCTTTGAGGTTACGCGGCGGGGCGCCACGGACTGCATAGCTGGGGGGCACAAGCTGTCCCCTAGAAGCTGCCCAGGTTAAAAACAGCTCAGTGTTAAGACCTCCGTGTTGGAGGCCGGGTCCAGCAAAACACAAAACAAAAACAAGGGGCCCGAAAAGAAAAGCAAAACAAAAACCTGGGGGACCGTCCCAGCTTAAACATTCGGTCAGCGCTACTGGGGGCCGGTCCAGTATAAAAAGCGGCGCTGGGGGACCGTCCCAGCGAGAATAATCCGTCTGCACTACTGGGGGCCGGTCCAGTATAAAAAACGGCATCTGGGGGACAACAGGCGTGGGCCCTGTCACCCCCCTTTCGTTTCTGTCTTTTTCGCTGCCCCGTTAGTGTTCGTCTGTTGCCTGGCCCTCCATGTCCTTCCCGCCTCTTGCTGCTTTGTCGGTGCCTTCCTCGCCTGAGCTGGGCGAGGCCACACCCATCGTGGCCACACTTGAAGCGGCACCCTTGTCCCCAGCCCAGGCCCTCGCCGCAGGGGCCGTGACGCCTGGCTTTGATGAGGCCAGCCCCAATTGCCCTGCCTGCTTCGAGCCTGTCCTTGAATCGGACACGGGGGAACTGACGACATGCCGATGGCCGGGGTGCCGTCATCCGTACCATGCCATGTGCGCCACTCCCTGTCACTGAGAACACATGTCGATGCCATCGCCGTTTGGACCCTCTTGGCGACCATCGTGCAGCGTGTTCAACGTCCGGGGTTCTGCGGAGCCGTGGGTGCGGCCTTGAGCGAGCCGCTGCTCGGGTCTGCCGTGAAGCTGGGGCACGGGTGACTTCCAACACCCGCCTGGCTGACCTCAACCTGGCCGTCGATCGCCTCAACGACCGCCGGTTGGAAGTCGTCGCCAACGGTCTCCCGCTGTGGGGCGGCGCCCAGCTCGCCGTTGACGCAACTCCCGTGTCCCCCCTGGACTCGGCCGGCCGGCCGGCGCTCGTTGAAGCCCGCCTGCGGAAGGAGCGCGCCTACCCCGAGCTCCTCCGTGTCCTCGCCCTTGAGGTCGGTGGCCGGTGGAGCGAGGAAGCTGCGTCCTTGTTTGCTCGCTGGTCGGCGTTCCTGTCCTTTGCGGCTCAGCTGTCCTTCGCCGAGTCTCTCCTCGAGGGTCGCGTCAGCGCAGGCCGGTCTGGCTTTGGCGGCGTTGGGCCCGACCTCAACGAGCTCCTCGCCGACTCGGCTTGCCCGGCCCCTCGTCACCCGTCTTGGCGCCCCCGCCCCTCCTTAGTGCCGGCCCACGCCCCCTAGCTGTGCTTGTGTCCTAGTGCCCGGGCCTCCCCCTTAAGCGCGTGTTTCACCGCTTGGGCAGACGCAAAAAGGTGCGTGAGAAAAAAAGAAAAACCAGGACGTCGTCTCTGCTTTTTGGCTGCTAGATATGTAGGCGGAATCGTTCAGCATGATGCTGTCAACATCATCATTATGCTTCTGAACTCATTAGGACGTTGTCTGCGTGTTTTTTCAGCGCACCATATTGAGTGGCTGTGGTATCATTATGATGCTGTCAACATCATCATGATGCTGTCAACATCATCAACATCATCTTGGTGCGCGGTTTGTTGCCGGGGTGTGCTATCTGAGGTCTATGCTGGTGTACTTTTTGGTTGCAGGCGTTGTTTTTTGCGGCTGATTTTCTGGAATGCGGCTGGAATTTCCGCCGCGATGCATTGCGGCAGAAAATTCTGCCGCAGGACGTTCTAGGTATACATATATAAATGTATACTGCACGTGCACATAAGGTTGGGAGCCTTAGAAAACGATTTGGTGAAAGGTCCAGTCCTAGACCCCGCTTGAGCATGCAATTTCAGGGTCAGACAGGCTGAGATAATGCCACTTGCGCACCAGCTGAGAACCCAAATCTGTCTCATGTCCTGAGGAAGTGTGGTTAAAATCGGGGTTTGTCGACGCGAAAGTAGTCCTTCAATTCTCTACCGGATTGTCAGCTTCCATTGGTGGGTACCTTTTTGGGACCGCATTTTTCGGTAAACAACATGTTGGCAAATCGGAAAATCAGGACAGGAGGTCTTGCGAAGGCCCAAGTGACGCCACTACTTTCGGCTATGTGTCACTCACATCGAATCCACTGAATTCCGCGTGAAGATTCTGGCGGGAGGAGGGGTGCTTTTGGGGCAACCAGGTCAAGCCATGTTTGCTTTGAGTCGTTGAGTTTGACCTTTGTGACCTTCTTGTGCCGCCTTTTGGTTTCACCTATTGACTTCCCCGATCTAAACCTTTCTGAAGAGTCCAAAACGATTGTGCCGCAAAGTTGGGCCAAACTGAAGGCAGTCCCCTATGTCTGGCTTTGATTCCTGGTTCCCTTTTCTCGACCACAAAGGTCCCGGTATGCCTGACGTGGGGATTTGGACCCCTCCTTGTAGAGTTTGAATGGGCAGGGCCCCAAACCATGAGGCAAGAGGAGCTCAAGTGCCCCTTGCTGCTGGCTTTAGACCAGACTGCTTTTCCTTTTGGTTCCCCTTAACCACCCGAAAAGCGCGCCGCCTCAGGTGGCGGGTGCTGCGTGGCCACGACGCCTTCCCGGGCCAGGATTTGG